AAGCGGGATATAGCTTGGTATGCGGAGTGGTGCTTGACTTGCAGGAAAATTCAAGGCTGAGCATCAGCAACCTCAAGGAAAGATGCGGGTGTTGGAGATTCCTATATGGAAATAGGAGGATATTAGCATGGAATTCATCACAAAGTTATCTCGAACTGCACGCGGAGTAGATTCGATTTGGGCCATCACGGATCGATTGACCAAGAGCATGTATTTTATTTAGATTCAGGAGAGTATTTATGCGGAGAAATTGGCTAAGGTTTACATCAGGGACATTGTGGAACGTCATGGGGTGCCGATTTTTGTGGTTTCTGATAGGGATGTCAGGTTTACTTCCAGATTTTGGAAGAGATTCTATGAAGATTTGAGTACTCGTCTCCATTTCAACACACCATTCCATCTATAGACCATTGGTCAGAGCGAGCAGATGATTCAAACATTAGAGAGGATATTATTTCATCATGTGTTTTCGACTTTGGTGGAAGTTGGGATATGTATCTTTCGTTAGCAGAAATTTCCTATAACTTCAGTTATCACGCCTACATTGATCGACCTCTATTTAAGATACTCTATGGCAGGAAATGTAGGACCTTAATTTGTTGGGGGTCAGGTTGGTCAGTGGGTTATGGGGAGTATCGAGTTGGTACTCAAGACCACTGAGCTGATCCTGCAAGTTTGAAGCAGGCTTCAGATAGCTCAGAATCGGCAGAAAAATTATACCGACATATGTCGATCAGATCTACAGTTTCAAGTGTAGGATATGGTTCTCCTGAAGGTGTCACATTCAGGGAGACAGACAAGCTAGGCCCCCAGGTATATCAGGCATTTCAGGGTTTTGGTCGGGGTGAGACGAGTTCCATATCGTTTCGATATTCTAGATGAGCTCAGTCAGATTTACAACACGTTCCTTGTCTCTCAGCTATGAAAGTGCTTAGTGGATGATTCTGTAGTGGTACCGTTTGAGGATATTTAGGTGGACGACCTCCTGAATTATATTGAGAGACTAGTGGAAATTCATGATCGGAAGATGAAAACCTTGAGGAACAAGGTTGATGGGTTGGTGAAGGTGCAATGGCGGCATCACAAGGGTTCAAAGTGTACTTGGGAGCTGGAAGATAAGATGAGGGAGCACTATCTGGAATTATTTTGAGCAGCAGACTTCGAGGAAGAATAATTCAAGTAGGGGAGAATTGTAACACTTGAATTAGGTATGTTCATATTTAACCTTTATTATTTAAAGCATTGCATTTTGGTCCTTATGGATAGTTCGTGGGGCATACCACAGAGTACGCTTGCCATACCAGCTAAAAGATGATTGTGGGTATTAACCACGTTCATTGGGCATACATGGGTTATGCTAGGCATACGTTGGCCTGGGGAAACCCTAATTTTTAGGTTTTGTGCCCTATTTAACATTCATTAACTCACCCCTGTTAATTTTAGACTATCATCTACCATTTTAAAACTCTAATTGGTCACTTTGCCTTTGTCTGGTGCTCTTGTGCTCTTTTTTTGAACGTTGGTGGGTTTTATGCATCTTTAAGTGGCAGAAGAAGAAGGTTGAAGACTCATTGTTTGGAAGGGAGTTAAAGATCCAACTTTAGCATCTTCATTTGGTTACTTTTCAGGTATAAAGTCCATACCTTGTCTACTTTCTACCATGATCAACTCTTTAGGTTTTTTATGGTCATTTTGGTCCCTTTTAGATGGTGTAATTGAGCTAAGGCCGTTTTTGTAACATCCGGAATCCCATGTATATTATTTTGATATTTTATGTTTTGAATTTGTGAAAGAACTCGGCGACTTGATGCTTAGACTCGCCGAGTAGGGTCGCGGTTGATCATCCGGGTTCGCGTTGGACTCGGCGAGTCCACACTGTTTAATGAAACCCTAATCCTCCGGGGTTGGAGCCTATTTAAGGGCACTCTTAGCCTTCCATTGCGGCTACCAGTCCGTTGAGAGCACCCTAAGTGAGACAGATCGTTGGGAGGAAGGAGAAGCCATTTTTGACCTTACTATCTTTGGTTTAGCAAGAAGAAGGTGATCAAGAGCAAGAGGAGACTGAAGGAGGTGTGGTTCTAGTGATTTCAGAGTTCAGAGACTTCAACTTGAGGTATTTATTCGGATCTTCTTCAGTTTTGGTATTGATACCTAGAGTTATGGTTTTCTAACCTCCTTTGAGGATGTTTATGTGGAGTAATTGGTCCCTTATCGAGTTTATGCTTTGGATCTGTACTCAAAGAGGTCCAGAGACCTTAACCCTTGGAGCTTTATGAGTTATCTTAGGAGTTAAGAGCATAGGATGCCATTTTTGGGTTTGAATCTCCGAGTGTTACCCTCTAGATGATATATGAGTGTCAAGGTCTGGACTTTACGTAATTATTATACTTGGGAAGGACATATCTATGGATTTGAGGAACAGATCTGACCTCACGAGGTCAATAGAGTTTGTGCATGGCATGTACTCGCCGAGTTGTTCTTGAGACTCGGCGAGTTGAGTCGGGGTTGCCCCGCGATTCTTACATGAGGACTCGTCGAGTAAAGGGAGGGACTCAACGTATTAAATAGGACTAAAGAGTTAAGTGGACACAGGTGGACTCGCCGAGTTGCCCAATTGCACTCGCCGAGTCGGGTCAAAGTTTGACCGTTGACTTTGGTTGACTTTTAGGGTTTAATCGACAATGAGGGCCTTTGAGCCAAAGGAGGGGTAAAATGGTCTTTTACCCTTCTGAGGGTGCTTAGAGAGTGTCTGAGAGTTATATTTATGAGAGTATTACTTTATGTATTTAGGTGGAGGCTAGATCGTATTTCTACCGAGTCGGTGATTCATCGAGACATCTGAGGTGAGTCCTCTCACTATACTGTACCTAGAAGGGTACCTATGTGTGACCAGAAGGTCTGGTATGTTATAAGAGATATGCATTGTATGTTATAAGTAGCCTGTTTGTATGTGATATGTATGTTATGCTTAATATAGGCCAGAAGGTATTATGTTATGGGCCGGAAGGTAGTATGGTGTAGAAAAGAAAGGACAGGGAGTTATGGACCGGAAGGTCGACACGGGTAGGACCGGAAGGTTTACAGTTTTAGAAGCTAAAACGTGTAGATCAAGATGTTTTAAGGGTTCAAGCATAAAAACGCAATATTTATGGTATTTAAGGACTCATGCATGTGTTAAGTCATTTGTTAATTGAAGTGTAGATTGAATCAAGTGTATATATGAAATAAGAGTTTAGAAAAAATTTAGAACACCAATTCTAAATATAATCTGGTTGGCTCAATATATTGCTTTCAGAGAATACATGAGGTTGTCAAATGAGTATAATCAGAGTGAAAAAGTTAACCCCTAAGACATGTATCCATACTATATATATATATATATATATATATATATATATATATATATATATATATATATATATATATATATATATATATATATATATGGATAAAGAAAGCAAACAAAAAATATAAGGGACTCGACACTATAGCTTCAAAACTAAAAGACCCTTATAATAAATTTAAAAATAGACATTCGACACACTGAACGAATAGACACATTCGATATGTCACTAACACATTTGAACCAAACATTCTCCCTTTTTGTGAGAAATGTCAAATCTAAGTCGTCAACATCAAAGCATCTTGGTGAATGACCCTTCGTATCTCAGCATACCAATTGATCACTTTTCAAATTTCAATGTTTTCATTATCATTAATCTTAGCACAACTATACATGCTTAGCATGATATTTGTATAATGTGAAGTTCTGTACCTCTCAACATCACACACTTCAATCAAGAATTTAGTGTTATTTCCCTTCTTATTTTTTTTCCAACAAACACTATTCCAAGTGGCTTCATACAAATCTCACCATATTTCTAATCTTTCAAGCTTGCCTAACGTTTCAACATTGATTGTGGAACATAGATCTATTTTCCTAATGCATGAGCTAATTCAACATCTGTCAGAGCCAATAAACCATAACAACCATCAATGAATACCTTCAAGTGTACGAATCCAAGTAAGAAGCTTTCTTTGTTTGTCACATGTAGCTTCTAGACATCCTCACTGTTCAAAATCTTCACAACACACAACATATCATGAAGGTTCATTATTGGGAAGTATGGAACTGAGAAATCAAATGCAACATTGTTGGCCCAGACTGCATGATATTGATAATTTTGCAACATACCCTCGAACAAAACAGCTTTGGATATGTTGAGAACACAAACTATCTTAACAAGAGACCAAACTTCCTCCTCCCTTTTTCCAAACACTACTTGGAAATGAAACTCCATGCATTTGAATCCGATTTTATCATTTTATTTCTCTGCAACCTCAAACTGCTCATCCACAAACATCATGTGATTGATAGGAAAATCCTATTGATTGATATCAGTGTTCTCTGTATTATAGCTCTTCTTGGGGACTTTTTCAAAATCATGCATATCCCCTGTCACAACCAAAGCTTCAATGTATTCATAAGTATAGTTCTTCTTAGGATCATATTTGTTGAGACCAGAAGGATCATTTTACCTTTGTCGTAGAATGCTCTGGATTTCTCTTTGTTTCTCCATTTCTTTTTCTATAGCAGTTTTCCTTTCTTCTTTTGAAGGCATAGAAAAATACCCTTTCCTTTGCTCTGCATTTCTTTAGTGGAAGGAGGTGATTGCAAGGAACTTGACCCTCCCCCAATAAATCTAATCACAACTCCTTTGGCTATTGGTTTCGTTGATGTTGTTGTTGTTGATCATGTTGTAATCGTTGATATCTTTAGTAATGAGGTGTGAAGTTAAGTATTTATCACCTTTCCAATGACCTTTACATCATGATCTCCTTTCAAAGATCCATTACCTCCTATGCTCACCTTCGAACTTCCCCCAATGACAACACCAATACCTTCTCCCCTTTGCACTCCTGTTTGAACAGGTTGGGCATTCGTTGTCATCAAATTCAACAAATTTGCTAATAGAGCCAATTCAGCTTTGATTCTGGACTCCAAAGCATCAAACCTTTGGGATAAAGACTCGGGAGTAAGAATTGAAGATGATGAACCAATTTTCAAAACTAAATCCTTAAGGTTAAGCAATGAGTCTCTTCGATTTTATCAACCTTCAGAATTAAAATATTGATACCATTTGACAACATTCGTAACAACAGTTGCGATGATATCTTCATTTGTATGAAGAGTAGAAAAATTATGAGATATAGCAGCAACGTCCTTCACCATATCTACCTTTAACTCTTCTAGTTTGAGATTCACATTTTCTCGAACTTTCTTAACAACTTTCACATATTAATGATGGAGCCTTAACATAGTTCTACTTGTATCTGTCTATCCGTTCCAACTCATCCCTCAAACGATGCTCTTGAGCCTCGAGCAAAACTTCAACTTCTGTTCTCAAGATCGAATGACGAACCCCTGCATCATCCTGAAGTTGCAATAACAAGTTCAACTTTCTGTTAATAATTTTGAACTATTTACGAGACGTTAGCATGTGATCTGGTATGTTTTCTTCCTCTAGATCAAACTTAAGATCAGCAAATATACATGTGAACTCACCATCGCCAGTGGTGGCATGATCATTAACTGTTTTAGGATCATAGGATTAGGATGGAAAAAGAGAAGTGATAGGTTGTTAAAGGATTTGATCAAAGGATGGAGAATGAGTAGTTGGTGGTAAAGTATTGGAAACAGTAGAGACAAATGATAGTAAAGAAATATTGGATGATATGGTAGATGTGTCGAAAGTAGAAGAAATAAAATTCAAAGGATTACCTTAAGTTTCGGTAGTCAGCACTCTTTCACCTATACTGACATTTGTGTCCATATTAGATATGTTCATAGGGATGCTTGAAGTTCAAACCTCCTCAGTAACTGATTCAGCATTCGAAACTCCGGGTGGTATGACAGTAGTCTTTCGAGTGATCACCTTGATTAATAGGTGTGTCCACATGAAATGTTTTCACATACCCATCATGATCTCCAGTTGCCTTGACATTCACCTTGATTGGAGAATCTCTCTATGGTGATGAAACAATCGTATCATCAATAGGTGGTTCTGGTACAACTTCATCTTAATCTTTGACTAGCACTCAATTTTTATTCTTTGTAATCTCTTTATCCATGTCTTAATCCCTTCGCTTTATGGACGCCGAAGATATAGGATTTGGAATCTCTCAAGACACAACACCTTTGCGATTTATTTGGAGCTTACGAGTGACCTACTAAATAAATTTAGGAGAAAAAGTGCTAGACCTATAAGGAGAATGACGAGGCCTGTGAGCCATCTTCTTTAATCATTTCAGAATCCCAGATGTTGAAGGAATAACCTCCATCGCAGGGGAAGAAGATTCAACCACAATAGGCTTTTGTATTATCTTCGATGGTTGATCATGCTTAACAACCTTCTTTGGAGTAGCTTTGACAACCTTCTCCACTTAGTTTTGAAGGACTCCCCTTAGCCTGTTTCTTTGACTCCTTTATCTTCTTGTATAAACCATTGTTCTTAGGTAATAAAACACCGGTTTCAATTGAAGGGTTGGTAGATTTATGATAAGCAGCTAATACCGAATTAGAAGGAGCAACCTTTCAAAGCAAGCTATCTGGAATACTTGCAACAGCGGGAAACACGTCCTCATCATCTTCAATTGCCTTTGGAAAGTGATATAAAGAAAATACGTCATGTTTATATTTTCGAAACTAGAATTCTTTCCTTATCATAGGTAAATTGAAGTATCAAACTCGCATACGAGCACAGGAAATGTCATTCACAAAAGTAGTGTTAATGATACTTTTCACAAACTCTTCCCATAATTGAGTGGTCTGATCAACTGGAATATCATAACATATGCTTTCAACCAACGCATAAATCTCCAATTTGGCCTTATCTAACCCAACATTTCGACCAGTTAAGCATCGAAAGTAAATACCAAAAAGAAAATTCCACAAATAGGGTAGACTAGATTTCTTAATCTCACTAATTTTGGTAAGAACTAGTTGGTAACCATCTCGTTCAACTTATGAAGAACTTGGTCATTGGAAACTTCATAGAAATTATCAACAGTAAGGATATTTAGAATTTGTGCAAAAAGCTTCTTGGTGAGTTTGACCTTCTTATCATTTGTCAGTTGAAAACTAAACAGTTTCACCGCCTTGTTATAAACTGTTGTTGAACCAGCAAGGGATAACCACAAAAATGGGTATAGAGAATGAAGAGAACACTACACTAGATAAAACCGAACTTTTCAAAAGGACAATAAGCATCTGCAACCCGTTTTGATATTGATCAACATCAGGATTAACTCTGAATCTAGTGTTTTGGATCTTCATGAGAGGTTGCGAAGTAATATCATCCGTCCTATGAGATGCTTCATCATTGGTGTTCTTGGCAGCCATTGTTACGGTTTGAGGAATTTTTGATGAAAATGGAATGATTGGATGGCAAAGGATTTTAGGGATTTTCAAAATGTGTAAATTTGGAATGAAACCCCTAAAACCTTTTATACATACACTTCCATCAGTCTGTTCGATAGTACCCAAAAAATAATAACCAACAGAAACCTTCAGTATGGAGGTAAGGCTCTTTCACTCTGGGGTTGAAAAGAAAAGTCATACACCATAACTTTTGAAATCATCAGCCTGAGCTGATATTACTCAGAACCTCATGGCTTTCACTATCTGACAATGTGTGCTAAAAAAATGATGAGATCAAGATAAAAAGAAAATTAGATCTATGATTTCATTAAAAAAATCGACATAAAGTAGTACAATCCAAGTCAAAGATCACTTCGTTCTCCATCAAGAGATATGTTGAAGAACTGGTGTGATTTCCCATGAATTAAAATCGAATACTTATAGAGGAGTATCAAAGGGCATCTTTTAAAAAGCTTTGTGGGTCGGCTCAGATTTTGTTACAAACCAAAACTTAACGTAAGTGTGAGAAATTGAAACCACAATTACCTGTTTAACCAATGTAGTGAGTGACAAGTAGGCTTTGAAAATATTTATTAAGTAACAAAGAATTAGAAGTGATATCCAAGCAGAAATCATATTCAAAAATAAAATTAAATTATGGATCTTGTTGGGTAAAAATGTCCTGGGTGTCGAACATTTTAGCAACACCACACAAAAACTAAAGAATATGATTTTGCGTATCGAAAGATGGTACTGAAACAATTTTTTTGTTAAAAACTTGAACTAAAAAGTTCACCGACAATTCCTTATATGTTTCAACAGGTTGAGTTTCACTTTCATGTCATTGTGTGTGAACATGTGAGAACTTTAGGATGAAAAATATTGGTTCGAGATTTGAAATGTACCGCTACTATAATTGGACCAAACAGAAAACTCTTAACTCAGGTGAAAAGAGTAAGGTAGCTCAAGAACTAATGTGAATATAGCCTAATTGGGAAGGAATCCTCAAGATGAGAAAACCATTAAGGCTTTTACACATTGAGTTATGGAGGCTTGGGTCGACATGTTGCAACATGCTTCTAAGGACATCTTAACTAGTGCAAAGTATCAAATGAATACCTTTCCTAAGAGCTTTTGATAAATCATGCAGAAAAATATCGAAAGTGAAGCATGTCAAAGGTGGGTCTATAAACAGTAACCGCTGAATGAACCAAAAATTCGATATCAACAGTCTTAAATCTCATGTATACCAGGAACTGCATTCACATTTAACGTGCCTAAACCTGCCAATATTCCCAGAAAGCTATTTTCATCCAATGGTTTTGTAAAGATGTCAGCAAGCTGATCTGTGGTCTTTCCAAAATGCACTTCAATATTACCATCTTTAATGTGATCTTTGATAAATGATAATGAAGTGCAATGCGTTTAATCTTCGAATGTTGCACAGGGTTGTTACAAATGTGTATAGCACTTTTTTAATCACAATACAACGTAATTTTCTACACGTTGAATTCATAATCACGTAGTTTATTTTGAATCCAAATGATTTGAGAAGTGCAAGCTGCAGTAGCAACATATCCAAATTCTGATGTGGAAATCCAAACACATGTTTGTTTCTTCAATTGTCAGCTCATAAGCTTCCCATCCAAGAGATAACATCCACCTTTTGTGCTTTTTCGATCAAGTTGACAACCACCCAAGTCAGCACCCAAAAATGATTGAATGAAGAATCCAAATTTCAAAGCATACCACAAGCCCAACAAAACTGTGCCTTTGAAATAGCAAAAAATATTATTGAAATCTTTAAGATGAGGCTTCCTGTTATTGGACTGACACCTAGCACAATTGCATACATCAAACATAATATCAGCTCGACAAGCCGTTAGGTATAGTAATGAACCTATCATGCTTTGATATAATGTAATATCTATAGCCGACTTATTTATCGAAGGCCTAACTCTTGTGCCAACTGGCATTGGTACTCGCAACTAGGAGCTATTCGTCATTCCAAACATCTCTAGAAGATTGCCAGTGTACTTTTCTTGATTAATGAAAATACCTTCTATGCTTTGAAGAATATAAAACCCAAGAAATTGTTGATCTTCCCCATCATGTTCATCTCAAATTGACTTTTCATCATATTTTCAAATTCTTTTGACAAATTAGGATCAGTAGAATCAAAAATAATATCATCAACATAAATTTGAACAAGCATAAGATCATCCCAACTTTCTTTCGAAAGAGAGTGGGATCAACAGATCCTTTTATAAATTTCTATGATTTTAAGAAATTTGTAAGAGCAGCATACCAGGCCCATGGTGCTTGTTTAAGTCCATAAACAACTTTGTTTAAAACATAACAATGATCAGGATATTGAGTGTGTGACAACCCAAGTTGTCCCGTTACATTTTCCCCGTTACCATTAACGGAATATTGCACTATATAAAAGTTCCGTTAATTAGAGGGCATCAATTTAATAAACATTCCATTGGTTCACATTAATATGCCGTTAAGTCGTGATAAAAGGAAATAAAAACACATAACACACATTTCCATTTAAATGGAATATGTTAAGTTTTATTGTTACGACCACTAAATCGGGTGCGACCAAAAGCCCCGTATAACGGCAGTATCTGGTAGAATTCCATTGAGCTCCAACTCTCACCCAGATATAAAGGGGAGTAAAATCCATTTGGAGCTTTTCCACCCTCTCTCTCTCTATACTCTCTCTCTAGACTAGTTTTCGCCCCGAATCCGCAACCAAACGTTTCCAAATCGTAAGTCTGCTTACCCTAGCTTATTCTAAACATTATGATTTGTGTTTATAACCCAAAAATCAGACTTAGAAGCAATGGAAAAGGAGTTTACGGCCTAAGCTCCTCCTTAGGCCGTAAACACCTAAAATGAGGCCAAAATGACCCAAACTTGTCCCTAATGGCTTGGAAATAAATTGAGGTGTTAGCCGAGGAGTGTTTAAACATTAAAACTCATGGATTTAGGGGATAAAAGAGAGTTTACGGCCCAGGCATATGCTAAGGCTGTAAACACCTCTTAAACATGTCTAAAAGTCCCAAGAACACTCCCAAACCACCCTTAGGCTTCATACATAATTTAGGGACTTGGTATTTTGGGTTTAAACCATTTAAACACATCAAAATGAAGAGGAAAAAGGAGTTTACGGCCCAGGT